TTTTATAAATCAAAGTTTTCGTCACTAATTTCATTTGTATGGTTTTGAATTATCAATATTCAACTAATGCATATGTTTACTTTCTAATAATAATTCTGTTTGTCCATAAAGTATACTTACTTAAGTCAAGTTCCTTGAGAATAGCAAGAAGTTTAATTAAATTATTAACCTTAGCAGCACCAGATTTCATGAACCAGATGAGAAAAATACATTTAACAAGCCAATAAATATGCCATGAATTAAATACATTATATCCAATATACTCAATGGAAGTGAGTGATGAATAAACAATCCAATAAATGAGTAATTCATTTTGTTTATCATTATTTATTTCTGATGATTGAACAAATGATAGTCTGAAAAATTTAATAATTAACTTCAAATTATCGAGACAATTTACATTAAAAAAAAATCTTTGACTAATATTAATATTTCATTTTTGGATTGAATCTTAGCAGAAATGTATAATATATTCAAATAAATTTAGTAAATGTAATATCTGATGAGAATATTGAGGAGTAGAAGTGAAAGACCAGAAAAATACATAAAGATGTTTTGTAAGAAATAGTTCTCAAATAAGATAATGGCTTTATCTCAAAACTTTTCTATAAAGAAAGAGTTTATCAAACCATTATCTCAAATGATAGAAGTCATTTACTCAATTATTTTAGTTTTTCATATCACTTTATCTACATTAAAAGAACATCAGATTTTAATTATGAATCCAAGTTTTGACTACTTTCGGGCAAAAACGTTGAATTCTTCGATGGTCCGATTGTTTTCACCCAAAATACTAATCGATCTCCAATCAGAAATTTTCTCATATTTTTCTCTATCGAATTTTTAATAACACAAAATTGATCAAAATCATAATCAAAATACAATAATCGACATAGACCAAAATATCCTCTACAAAACTCTGGATTTCATATATGTATTCGTGTCTTATAAACAATGACACAATCAATATAGTAGACAGTTTTTACTCTTCTCACTTCTCTTATACACACCATTTTTTTGAGAGCCAAAAAATTCAATGGGAAATGTTTTTTTTGGAAAAACAAGACAAAAAAAAACCGGATCAAATGCTGAAAAGTCCATAACAAAATGGTACACTATATATGATTTAATATTTTTCCTATTCGAAAATATCTTTAGAACTGTTATCCAAACATCTTATTTTATAGAAACAGTTCAAGTTGTTTGATCAAATATTTGAAGCCAGTTTATTAAGAAAAGAAATTGGAAATAGACTCTATTTCTATATCTGATAATCATCAGTTATTCATTGTATCTTTGAAACGTTTGATGAGAGACTCCTTTGAATATAATGCAAGTTTCTTTGCATTCAGATCAATTAATAGTTCATTGAGAAATCTAATAAATCTACAAGAATATGGAGAATTTTTCAATACTTATAAGAAAATTTTGGCTCTTCTTATAATCACTTATCAATAAAAAAAAAGAATTTGAGTAATAATTGTAGAAAGGATTTGTAGATGAAAGTCAACTTACGAAGTGTAAAGAGGATAGAGAATGCTGATGAAATTACAAACGAAATCATTAGCCCAACCAAAAACCAGGTAGATAGCAACAATTGGAACCATACCTAACAGAACAAAATGATGTGGCAACCAAACAAAAATTATAATAGCATACCAAGAAAAATTAATGAACGTTCCAAATGTATCTTCTTTTCAACAGGATTTAAATATGAATCTATTTGATCATTGTGCAAATATGGATCGAGTGTACTCTTCACCTTTTCAATATTCTGTCGCATTACAGCAGCCATTTATTTCTATATGATTTAGAATTTTAGAGAGCAATAAGAAAATCTATAAAAAAAAAGAACAATGGAATTGTAAATACATATTGAATGATAAATGATCAGTTTCCTTCTACTACTATAAAAGCGTACACAAATGTGAATCCTACATTTGACCAATTTGCCAAAGTCATATTATCGAAGAGCGTGTATACCATCGACTAGTTACTTTAATAGATTCTGTGTCACTTACTTATCATCATGCTGGGTTTTACTTTGAATCAAAGTAAAGAGAATTATCAATCTTGGTTTTGTTTCTAATTCTGCATACCTCTACTCAAGTGGAATTCTCATTGACTTGAACAAATAAATCTAATCTTATATGGATTCCAAAAGCATCACTATTTTAACTGGTAGAAAATATTGTTATATTCAAAATAAATTAAACTAGAGACATTCTTCTATAATTCGAAAAAAATGACCTAATTAGATAGGTCTTATAAGAAAAATTTTAAATGATCCTCTATTACCGATCAAAACTCAGCCCGTATGATCATAATATAGTTGAATATATTGAGCATTTTTATCGTATTGTATTTACCTTACATGTATAGATAGTGGTAAACGAATTTCGATACCTATCAGTTTTTTCGTACTTCTATATATTCGAAGCAACAAGAAAAGATACACCAAAAAATTTCAAATAATAGTCGAAATTATGAATTCAGTATAGAAAATATGGTGTGAAATGAGAACGATTTACTAGTTCGAAAAAAAAAGACGTTATTTTTTATTGTTCCGATGCAAATAGAGAAATACGAAGGAAGATAAGTATCTCGGCACCTATTTGTTACTTGTATGTTCTATATGTATGTACGTGCGTGTAATTATATCCGTATCAATATATTGAACGTGTGTATGCATGCACACAGATGTGAATGTATGGATCCATGTATTTCGTGTCAATATGACATGCAATCGTTTTTCTATTCTCAGAGTGAAGTACTTTTTTATGCAAACATAAATGTAAGCAGTATGTCATATTGACATAAATATGAGTATATTTATGTACGTAGAAAATGTTTTATGATAAAAATGATTTCAACTGAAATTTTAAGAATCCTGTGTTGATCGTTGGATGAATTTCTTACACAATCTATCAGCTTGAAATTCTATGAATCGATTGTCCAGAAATTCCCTTGTTCAGAACTTCCAACTTAGTAGAACAGTTACTCTTAAGACAAGTAATTCAGAAACTGAAATTGTTTTAGGGTTGTTTTAATCTCACTAAGATGTAATATATCACTCGGTTTTATGTAAAAAAAAAACGGTGAAACAGCTAAATTGAATAGAATAACAAACATCATCTAATTACTCTACGACAGATGCATATTTTTTACTGTCTATATTGAGATTTTCTATAGAAAATACTTGAAAAGAATTTGTCAATGTAAAGCTCCTTGTAGTATATAAAATAAACGTAGATCGGCTGAGAAAATATATTAAAAAGTAAGAAAATTTATCTTAATACTAAAAAAAAATACAAGATCTTCTTGTATTTCAAAGAATTACCTTCGCTCATTCGCTTCAAAAGAAACGTGTGCGTTGCCAATTGAAAAATCGAAAGGGACTGATTGCTTGCTGTATGAGAGTAGGCACAATATTTTTTTCTTTTTCATCGTCTATACGTAAAATAAATTGTATGCTCTACCGGAAGAAGAGTAATGGACAGAATGAAAATACGAGAAAATGTTTACTACTTTATTACAGAACGAAAGAAAAAGAGTATATGTACTTTGTTTTTTCTATTCTGTCGTTATTTTTCTTTTTTCGTATATGTAACGTATATATGTACAAAGTGAGTCAATTAAGATAAATATATAGAGTAAATGACAAGAATCTGTAAAATAGTTCGAAATTTTTATTTGAAATTTTCTCAAAAAATTCCATTCAGAAGATGGTTGACCGGTCCTTTCTTCTATCAATTGGTAAAGATCATTTCATAAATGTGTTTAAGTAGAACTATTTCATAAGGCATTCTTTGACTTTTATTTTCGATTATATATTAATTCTGTTTGGTTCAATTGTATAATCTCACATATTTTGATGGTGTTTTTTAGAACATCATTTTTCAGCGGTTGGCAATTTTCATTTGGAAAAGTCTTCCATCCAATTAAGAGAAGAGAGAGAGACAGAGCTAGCTAGGTGTCATAAGGAGAAGATTTTTCGAAAAAAATGATAAATAAAAAGAGTTATAAAGTAAAATACTTGAGTTCAGTATTTTTTTCGTGCGCATTTATCTCGACTGATTCTGCATGTACAAAAGAATTGTTCCCTCTACTCAAAGAAGGGTTATGCATCCAGCAGCTACCACAGCAAAAAATGACCAAATATTCGTTCATTACTGCGTTCGCTTGTTAATTATTAATATTTTCCATAAAACTTGACTAGAGGTAATCGAGGGTGTGGGTAAAGAGCCTTTTCACCTCCACACCCACACCCTTCATTTTCGGAGACCTATTAGAAAAATGCTAAAACGTCATATCTGTTCATCATAGGAAATCACACAAGTATCGCCACCTTTAGTGGCGCACGGTTTGTGTCAGTTTCGTTCGTCAAATTATTGTTCAAGCTGTTTACACTATCACTGTAAGTTGGTAGTGAGAATAATGAATATGTGTTTCTCGAGAGAAACAAAATAGATTTTTTCGAGTTTTGAGAATTTCAATCAAACATGAATATGTATACGAAAAATGAATTGTATTGAAACAGCCTTGCAACGCTAACTTTCACAAACAAAACGCTATTATTGAGTTTGAACGCCATCTCAAAGCACTGTTAGAATCCATTTATGACAAATATGTCTTTTGTCTTTGACTGACACTATCTAGAATATCGCAGCATAATGGAGCAGAATGTATTTGAATAATATGAAAGAAAAATAGTTGTATAAAAAAGGAACAGTTTGAACTTGACTAATCAAAGTTCTTGGTCAAGTTTGAAACGTTATGGATAACACGATGGAGACATAGTTACAATATTAGTTTTATATTGTCTTTGATTCATCTAAAGAGGAAAGATCTGAAAAGAGTATTCTCAGAAAGTAATACCTACTTTCTAATCATACGAGTTAGAGATTATACCTGTATTTCATGGCTGTATTTTTATTAGAAAAGGATAAAAGAAGGAGAAGAAGAAGAAGAAGCAGAGAGATTCAAACAAATAATCTTATCTAGTGATGTGTTAATGGTAAAGAGGTGTTTTCTCGTGATATTTTTTTGACAGTAACACTAGAATGAGCGTGTACTGTTTGAGATCTTTTGTTGCTCTGTGTCTCTTCAGTAATTGACCCAAGAGGAGCACTGTTCTTGTTCAATTTCGGTCTTTTCTTGCTTGCTGATACGCGTTCAACATGAATAGTAGATTTTGGTGACATGGGATGGGAAAGTGACAAATCTATAGTGTCAATTTCTGATGGCCGTCGTTCATTCGTCGACATTTTTTGACCAGCTGAAGATGATATATGCTTCACTTGTACTTTATGTTTCTCAGTTTTCGATGATAGATGCGCCGATTTTCGAATTTTGTCAATGTCATCCAATCGAATCGTACTATCAATAATCGATTGACGAAGATGTTGTGATGAAAATGAATCTTTTTGTGTCACTTGTGCCGTTTGTATTCGATTTACTCGAACACAATGAACAGTTTCAACGCTGTTGCTTCTCAATTTCGTATCCTCAATAGGTTTTGGGACATTATATGATGATAATAAAACACTCGAACTACGTTGTCGTCCCGTTGCACTCGAGTTAATACGAGATACTTTTACATGATCACGTGCTTCCGATTGGACTCGAGAAAAACTAATTGAATCATCGTCTGGTTGAAGAATTGGTGGTTTGATACCTGGATTGGCTTCGCTGAGTGGACGTTCTGTCATTCGGACTTTCGAAACTAATACATTGGGAGTCAGCTTTCGTTGTGAACGACCGCTCGACAGGCATAATGAACCGTCATTTTGACTACTGTTTATAACCGATTGATGTGAAGTTTCCCGAGAATATGTTGCTGTATTTGCTGATTGGTTTAATGGTAATAATTGAGTTTTGCTCCAATTACTCGTACTCTCGTTCAACAAATTATAACTAACACAGTCCGGACTGACTACAGCAAGAGCATCACTGTTATCCGAAATATGGTGCCAAGGACAATTTCGATTAGTGCATCGATCAATATAGTAGAATTCAAAAACGCCTGTACGTTCTAATACACTACTGAGAACAAATCGGCGACTGAAATAGAGAAAATATCGTACATACACGAGCGAAACACATTGTTGATACTAACCAGCAATAGCACCAACAAAGGCAACAACTCAAAGCCAATAATCCGAGTAGAGCCAAGCCAAGCATGCTGCCAATTACTGGCCAATTGACCGTGTTTGCTAAGAAAAATGAAAATACATTTGCATGCTAACTATACCGATCAATCTAGACGTACCGTTCGTAGTTGTTGTTGCTGTTGTTGATGTTGTTGTTGTTGTCGTTGTTGATGTTGTTGTTGTTGTCGTCGTTGATGTTGATGTTGTTGTTGTTGTCGTTGTTGATGTTGTCGTTGTTGTTGTTGTCGATGTTGTCGAAGTTGTCGTGGTGGTTGATCTAAAGAGAAAGAAGTATTTTACTTGTTTAAGAAAAATCTAGAACCAGCTGACGTTGTGCTTGTTGAAGTAGTTGTCGTTGTTCTAGAATGAATTTAAGAGCTTTTAAAGATAATCAAGCAATATTCACAATCTCTATTTACACGGAAGTTGTTGAAGTAGTTGATGTCGTTGAACTAAATCGTTATGATCAGTATTTTAGTGTGAAATATGAATTTTCTACTCACGTTGTTGCACTAGAAGTTGTCGTTGATCTTAAGAATATAAATAATGAAAGTACATATGAATGAAAACAAATAAGAATGTTACGAACGTGCTTGTAGTAGCGGTAGAAGTTGTAGCACTAGTCGACGTTCTGAAAACAAATATATTAGTAAACATAAGTCTAAAATCAATGGTTATTCTCAACTGACGTTGTCGTTGTGGTGGTGCAAATATCACCAGGACAAGCGCAGACACCATTTTTTGAAACGTACAATTTGAAACAAAATTGTGCTGATTGTGCATTTTGACTAGATAATTATAAATTAATTTAGTCGTTTTCGTTTTATATAAATTGAATACCTATCGAAAGCCATTGCACACATAACTTGATAGCCAATTTGAGATGATGTTGGTGTCCATGAAAGCGTTTTGTAGTAAGTTGACGTGTTGAATTTGACGAGATTTCCTTTGGCAATACCAGGAAATGATAATGTCGCAATATCGTCAATAGTTACACTTGGTCCACAATTGTTGATTGCAATCAAAAGCGAGTTGAATGTTTGACCGACTGTTATAGGTATACAGGCGTCTTCGAGTGGGGTTCCAATAATTTCTGGATCATAAGCACATGGTGATGAGCCAACAACATGAACAAGAAATTGTACGGGTACTGCACTGAGTGGAGTAGTGCTTGTTGAAGATATAAAATCTTCGACCTAGAGATAAGAGATAAATATGAATGACAAAAGAAATTATACATAGATTCACCATTATTGTCACTGCAAACCAGTCGTTAACAGTACGACCAGTGATGATAATAGTACAATTCGGATAGATGACAGTGCCTGATGGTAGTGAACTGGGCGGGCATACACCACCGCATTCATCAACACCATTTGACGATGTCGCCCATCGACAACGTGTCGGATCACCGTCGGCGTCAGCTACAGGTACTGTAATAACTGTTGGCTGATTAACAGGAATTTCAATCGGAGACATCATAATCGCTACAGGAGCACTGTTATATAGACCATTATCGGTTCTTGGTTTGATAATGATGTGTGTTGAGATCGACCAGTCAGCACTTCCAGCTGTTGCTAATGGACGCCATGCATTTTGCTGAAAAGCAGCAGAAAAATCTCTGCCAACTGACAAATAGACAGTATCGGAACGTTGTCCAACAGTGGTACCAACCGGTGCTGAAATATCCGTGCATTGTGGTCGAACAAGTGGAGCAACGTAACCAGTTGCGCCAGGATTGCAATTACTTATGCAATCAAGTGTTTGAGTGTTTAGATAAGTATAAGTACCAACAGGAATCAATTGACCGGCAGTAATTTGGGCTGCAGTGCATGGAATCAGTGAATATGTCCATGAATAGGTCTGAGTTATTACAATCGCTACTGGTGATCCAGTGGCAGATTCATTCAAAGGATGCCATGTAATGGTACCGCCAAGAAAGTGTGATCCATAGACAATGGTTATTAAGTTATACAGTAGTACCAAGAATAAAATGGGCGTCATTCTCAAAGATGATACTTCTAATGAAAAGTAATACTTCAAAAGAAAATGAAAAATAATCTAATGTTCGTATGTAAAGTTTTCATTCTTCGCATTTGTGCATAATCACAATCCTAAAAAAATAAAAAGAACGAAATTCGATGAATTCTATTGCATATATGTGCATAGAAATGTTGTGATTGAATTTTCAATCTCAAACCAATAGAATATGTTTGCATGCCTGCAACAAAATAATCTTTCTGCAAGTAATAAAATGAAGCTAAACAAAGTGTTTTGAATGAGATTCACAAATCAGAATAAAACAAAGGGTTTCCTGACAAAAGAAAAAAAATTTCTTTTTCTTTTGATCATTGTTTATCGTTGTATCTGATGAGAGAAACCGAATAATGTCCAAAAAAATATTTTGAACTTCGCAATCATGATATAAATTTCATTATAAAAAAATCAATATTGATTTCAATGCTTCAGCATTATATCGAAATTTTTTTTTGTCAGAAGTTCTGCTGCAATCAACTGTATTTTATGTAAAGTATCATTCACAAATATCTAAGCCAGATCTCATATGGATGTGACTGGGCCTAGAAAAGTCGATCTATAGATTTTCGGTTTTGAATCAACCCGACCTATGATTTCGTTTCGGAGAAATTATTACAGAGCATTCATGTAGTCAACTGCTTGTTTTTTTTGAAAAGACAGTTAGTTTGGGTGTGGTATCGGCCTCATATATATCAGCACTTCACACCCGCAAGACTACTACTCAACAGATTGCTAAGAATTGGTGTTTAATATGTGACAAAGTTCTAGATAAGATATCCAGATTCGATTTGAAATGAGGAATTCGAAAATAATATTAATGAGATCGAAATATAGAATGCTAAAAAATTATGGATAGCTTTTCTTTAAGTAGTTTTTGTTTTGCAAACTTCGACACTCACTCAATATTTTGCATTCTTTCCCTTGAGGACTTTTTCAGATGAAAAAAAAAACATAATCTCATATTCGTGTTCATTCTAAAAAACTTAATCTAGAAACGAATATTTGAGCTAAAAGCAAAGTCTACTGTAATTTTTCATTAGATACACCTTACATTCATTTATAACTTTCTTACCATGAATAAATATTCTAAAAATTTTAATCAAACTAATCAAATATTCCACGATCATATCTGCAAAAGTTCATTGTAGGAAATGATCATTATAATAAAAGAAGAAAAATACAAAGTTTATTTTTATTACCTTGCATACATTTATGTAAACATATATAGAATGAAGAAACAACAAAATATTATTTTACAGAAACAATGAACAAAATGCCCCAATAGCATCACCATATTGTTTAATTTGATGATGCTTGGCACCAGCATTATCTCGTATCCTAAGTTAAAAATAACATCTTTTAGGTTTTAATCATATGAAATAAATACCTAATAATTCATAAAACTGAAAAAACAAGAGAAAAAACAATAAACAACACAAAAAGACATAATCATACTTTTGTAATACTCGATTCTTCGGAACGATCTACTACTTTTAGTCAAAAATTAACTAATTTACTAAGAAGTTTATGTTTTAATGATCTAGGAATAATAGCTTTTATTCAATGAAAAAACAAAGGCAGTAACATCGTCAAGTTTCTTATATTATATACAGAAATTTTTTTTTAAAATCTTCTAAAGAAACAGTTCAGTCAATTCAGATAATGCTTTTGCTGCTGTTTCAGCTATACGACCATTCGCACTACTTTTTTGCCGTCTGACTTGTAGACCAGATTAAATGTACAATTGTGGTCTAATACCTGGTCTGACCTATCGAGTCAGCCAAACCGACTGATGTATCTGAGTTTTCAAATACATTAAATTCTATGATATTATTATAATGTGTCATCCTATTTTCAATTATTATACTAAATTTATTTTTATGAAGATAGTATGATGACAAACCTTTGAATACAGAAGCAAATTAAAATAAACGAGATCAATTTTCATATATAATTTTCATGCAAGAAATATCAGATTTATCAAAGTCTTTTTCAAATATATCAGCAGTATTTCACATAATTAGAAAAAAATGTAATGATGATAGAAAAACAATATACGACTAGATATACAACAAAGAAGGAAAAGAAAATATAGAAGAAAAATGTGATAAACACAAGATATTAATGACAACAAGTAAGAACAATGATATTTGATTATCTTTTTCTTTTTAATAATTTGAATCCTAAGTTTATTATCTAACTTTTTTGGATCTCAACAAGTTCTTTTGTTGGCCAATATAAGTTCTGCAGTTTTAATAGATTGCCGATTGATTATCAATGAAAACAATTAATAGATAAAATCATCAATTTATGATGCCGTCTTGTATTTCAAGTTATACAACGAAGAATAATATAACATCACATCTGGACCACCAACCTTGTCTTTGCTTTGTCTGTTAACTTAGTCCGATATCATGTGGATACATCGAGCCAGGCGAAAAGCTCTGATATGCATTACATTGTGTTTGAATCCAATTTTGAAATTATTCATTATCTGCCTTACACAGTGAATATTCACCAAATAAAGTATATACTTAAAAAATTTAAAACAAATATTGAAGTTTTTAAAAAAAGACAGAGAAATAAATAATCTTTTCTTTTTATGACAGTACTGTCAATCACATAACATCAATGAAAAGCAATTGTTCTTGAAGAACGTTTCTCATTTTTTGACTGATTATTCAGATTTATTGATTGACTGCATATGCATGGCTTTAGATGCCACGATGAATCATCACCTAAAACCAATTCTCATCGTCACGCACTCAAGTTGAAAAAGCACACTTAAACACACCCGTATACGACGACATAAGTTCAAATACGATTGTTGTTTACGATGAAGGGTGTGAATGTGGGCGTATGGGTGTAGATGAAAATACCAACGTCTTATACCCTCACCCTACACCCACACCCCATACACACTCACCCTCACACCCACACCCATGATTACCAACAAACAAACTGATCAGAGTTTTAATTGAAACGATGAAACAAATTGTCAATATTGGCCATGTAATAATCTTTATGTTCGATGTAATCGTCTTCAAAATTGTACTGATGGTACTGATGGTACTGATGAACATAATTGTCCCAAATTAAAATGTACATGGAAGGGTATTTCATGTTCTAGCAGGTTATTGACAAATTTATTTTGTTTTCCATTAATGATTTTAATGGAACAATATTTAGATTGTGAAATTTATTACACTGAAGATGAAATTAGTTTGAATACGGCACATAAAAATGAGACATTAGAATGTTTCTCCTACGATTCTTCATGCACTTCTTTAGAAGAACTCTGTATCCGTATATCATCAGTAACACCAGTTCATGAACTCTGTTTGTATCCACTCAAAGTATCCTGTCCAATAATAAGGCCATATTGGTTTATTTTAATTAAAAAAAAATATTTGCCCTTTTTTCCAAAAAAATGTACGAAAAATTGAATTTGACAAATCTTTTTTGATATCATCACAATTGGGATATTTTCCTGAAAATCCAAATGCATTATTGAACCAAAATGATTCCAAAGTGGAAAAAGAGCCAACTATCAATGAAGATATGAGTGGAATGAAAAATTGGTATTGCAATCGAGGAATTATCATCCTTTTTAATGATAATAAAACAAATAAATATTTATGTCCACCTAGTTATTTCGGTGATCGATGTCAATGGCAAAATCAACGAATAAGTTTAACACTTCAATTAGTACATCGTATTGAAACTTATACAATCGCAATATTTCAAATTATTATCATGCTTATTGATGAACAAAGACAAATAACATCATATCATGAACAAATAACATATGTACCAAAACGTGATTGTGGCACAAAATATAATATTTACTTACTTTATCCAAATCAACCAAAAAATTCTTTTATTAATTATTCAATACATATTGATATATTTGATAAAATATCATTAAAATATTTAGCCAGTTGGTATTTACCTATTCCATTTCAGTTTCTACCCGTTAATCGTATTGCAACTCAAATATTTATTCAAAATGAAGCCAGGATTTCAAAATTATGCCCATTATATTGTGGTAAACATGGTCATTGTGTAGAATATATAAATCGAAAATTTTTATATTTTTGTCAATGCGATGAAGGATATTCTGGTAGTCAATGTAATATTAAACATAATTGTTCATGTTCATCTGATTCATATTGTCTTACATCATCTATTTGTGTTTGTCCAATGAATAAATTTGGTTCAAAATGTTACTTAAAAAGTTCAATTTGTCAAACATCCAATAATCCTTGTCAAAATAATGGTCTTTGTATACCTGTCGATGATCGTATGAGTTTAAATAAATCTACATGTTTATGTACGGAAAATTTCTATGAAACACGATGTGAAAATATGAAAAATTGAATTGATATTGAATTTGATGATGATAAAATTAGTATGATGCCATTTGTATTTATACATTCTATTACTGCTATTGAAAATGATAATCATCAACATAAGACAATTTAAAAAAAAGATTATTTTTGATCGAAATATAATTACAGTTTTTATAACACATTCATTTCATGTTCTCTTTATTGAATTAACAAATCGAACTTACTATTTAGGTGTATTAAGAGAAAAATTTATCGAATCCGAACATATTCAAACAGGAATATTGTCAAATTATCAATGTTTGTCTATAAATGAATTGATGAATAATACTTTTCTAAATTATCCATTTGTTCATCATGCTAAATATTATCCTTATTTGTGTCAACAACAAAAACAACTTAAATGCTTTTATGATAATAGATATATGTGTATATGTGATGTTAATCGTTTTTCTAATTGTTTTACATTTAATCATACTTTATCATATGATTGTCAAGGAGAAAATATTTGCGAAAATGGTGGTCTATGTTTTCAACACAATATTAAATGTCCTATTCTATCAATATGCGCATGCCCTGAATGTTATTATGGTACAAAATGTCAATTTTCTACAAGGGGTTTTGTATTATCTCTTGGTTATATTCTTGGTTATCATATTAAACCAAATGTTTTATTTTATCGACAACCATTCGTAATTAAAATTAGTCTCATTATTATAGTCTTTATGTTCATTCTTGGAATGATTAATGGAACTTTATCTATAGCGATATTCTGTAAAGAAAATGTTAGACAAACTGGTTGTAGTTTATACAAGGGGGAAACGGCGGACTTGAAGTAGAAAAGTACGTCAAAGTACGTCAAAGTAGACTACTTGAAGTAGCTCAAAGTACCACCCAAGTAGCTCAAAGTACCACCCAAGTAGCCCAAAGTAGGAGCAAGTAGCTTAAAGTAACTTCAAGTAACTTCAGGTAAATTTGAAGTTGAAAAATACTTCAAAGTAAGCTACTTCAAGTAGCTGAAAGTAACTTCAAGTAGCTTAAAGTAGCTCAAAGTAACTTCAAGTCCAAAAGTCCGCCGTTTCCCCCTTGAGTTTATATCTTTTGACATCATCGTGCAATTCTTTACTTCTAATTATTGTATCAGTAATCAAGTTTAGTCAATTGATTTTATCACAAACTGCCGTTCTTACTAATCGAACATTTCTTACATTGAATTGTATATTATTAGATATGATTCTCAAAGTTCTTGTTGCATCAAATGATGGGTTTTATGGATGTGTTGCTCTTGAACGAGTATTTACTGTTATTAATGGCATCAAATTCAATCAAGTTAAAACTAAACAAATAGCTAAATGGATAATTTTATGTGTATTTCTTCTAACAATTATCACTCATATTCATGATCCAATTCATCGTCAATTAATTAATGATTCTGATGGTGATGAACAACGATTATGGTGTTTAGTTCGATACTCTTCTTCAATTAATATCTCTAATATATTCGTTACTTTTTTTCGTTTTCTTATTTCTTTCTCTATCAATTTAATATCTACTATAATTCTTATCATATCAATAGCTCGTTCTCGTTCTAAAGTTCGATCCAAAATACCATTTAAAAAACATTTACAACAACAATTATATCAACACAAACATCATCTATTTGCACCTTGTGCAATAATATGATTAACTATACCTCGTTTAATTCTTTCATTGATTCGTGGATGTATGAAATCACCAAGAGATCCATGGTTGTATATATTTGGTTATTTAATTTCTTTTATTCCATCTATGATAACAATTATAGTCTTTGTATTACCAGCGAAAAAATACAAAGATCAATTTATTGCGATTATTCAACCGATTACTCTTCATAGATTTCGTCGTATTTTGAAGGCACGAAGATTATAAGAATATTTATAGACTATGTACTTCATACTCATCATTTGATAACTGCTTGTATATGCTTAAAATATTTTCATTTTATTTAAAACAAAACTAAATTTAATAATTATCAATATTCTTTCTGAAATCTATTAGCGCGATCCTTATGATATTAATATGTGAAACAGGATATGGCTGTTATTAATGCAATAAGGCATTATCACTGTCCATTTCAGAATTAAATGGCCGGGGGCATTTTTTGAATAACTCCATAAGGACAAAAGATAAAGAGCTGATATTTTTACACTATATAGAGTCGAGGTTGCTCTATCGTTTCATATGGTCGATGAAAAATTTCAGTCATTTTTCCTCTAGCATACACCATGAGTTTTGAAGATGAGTATAATCGGTAGTAAAAATTAAATGCTTTCCTAACTCTAAGATAATGGGCAGGTAGCCCAACTTCGCCGCTACCGATCCACACAAGGCCGAGGTCGATAGCTGTATGCGTCTCAAAAATACAAAGGTTTTACTGAAGGCTAGTGATCAGGTTTTTTCCAAAATTTAAGCGAATAAAAAATATTTTCTTCTGTAAAGTTTTGTTGTCTTTTATTTCCTGACATGATTATTAACCTTCAGAGTCTTTTTTTTTAATTAGAATAAAGGTGTGGGCGTGGATGTTCGTGTCGATGTGGGTGTCGTTCAAGAGAAGATAGACACCCACACTCACACACCCACCCACACCCACACCCTTTTTGAACGAACTATAGCTGTACTGTTGGTATTGAAAAATGAAAATAAAATTTTTGAAAAAAACGCGAAAACTTTGTTGACAACCTAATATTTATCGAAATAATGATGTACAGCACATCTTATTAGTAAAAATAACGTTCACCACATTCGAACACATGACATTTACAATTCGTCCATGATAAATTACTTTCAAAAGCAGCTTCTTTGCAAATTTTCTTAGTTGAATGTCAGTTCTATAATGAAACCTTTCTTCTGATGTCATATTGATTCTGTTTCAGAACGAAATTCAGACTATCTGTAAATGAATGATCATTGTCGATGAATAATTTAAAATGTCACTGTGAGTATTCATTTCTGTGAGTAGAAATCATCACATCAAAAGTGAATTGTATCGTGTTCAGTTAGTAGATATTATTTCTCATTAGATAACACTTAGCGACTATGAATCACAGAAACGAGCGAGTAGACATTGATTATGTAAAGTGCGTTTAGTGTTCATTCTTTAAGTGACATGCCATCGTTCATGTCAGCCCAGCTCACACATTTTTGGCAAACGTCCCTTTTAGTCAATGATGGATTGGCGATACTGTTGTCGACAGACGGAGCTTGACGATTCGATTTTAAATTATTATTGTCTTGCTCATTAGCTTGTTTGTTGTTCGAATGAAGAATCTATAAAAAAAACAAGAAGAAGAACATAAAATGAGTGGAAGAAACCTTATTCGGAAAATTTGGGATTTGATCGAAGCATCAAAAGTGACTAAGCAAATTATTTTCGAAAAAACCAACCTAAAAGCTCTGACTCGAACGAGATGAAATTAAGAAGTGGTTATGTCAAAAAAAAACTTTCAAAATTTTTCACAAACAAACTACAATAAGTAATACACACTTAGCCTTGAACAAAAATGGGCATCTGTCGAACAACTATCTCTCTATCATTGATAATTAGAACTAAAAAACGCACGATACCATAAATGAGCATATCAAATTTTCATCAACTGACATAAGTGCGCCTGCGTTATCAAATAAACCTAAATAATTTGGAGCTGAAAAGACAGTGACCAATCGACGATCAGCGAAAAACTCGTAGCCACCTTCGACGACCTTGAAAAAGAAGCAAAATACTCAAAGAATTATTTAAAATGTTTTACCTTATGCGCTCGACAGATTAAGTCCATGTTATGTCGATTCAAAAACTGGAATGATAACATTTGTCAAAAAAAAATATAAGACAGAACAAACATTTGTTCAATGACTTGCTTCATTCACTATATTAACACCAAATCTAGGCGAAATGCCAGTGTCATTTTCACTCCAACCTTTCAAGTCCTTGTCTGGATCAGACCATAGTAGATCACAAAGAAGACCTGGTCAATGTGTAAATTAAATAATGATGACAATGATCTATTTATCCAAGTTTCTTATGATTTAATTTCTTTGTTGTTTAAAGTCTGATATGGCTCACGAATATCAATATTCTTACATTGAATTCTTAGAGTGCAAAACAGAGTAGAAAGAAATAGACAAGAGTTTTGAATGTAAATAAAGTCCAAAAACTATTAAAAACAGCATTCACTACGCTTTTCTCAAAACTCCAAATTCTCTTAATTTGAATTTATAGTTACTAGTGACGGGTCGAAGAATGTACAAAACTCATTTTTTGACTCAAGACAGAAAAATAACTAATAATGCATTGCCTGTTTAATGTTACAACATCGAATTTTCAACTTTCTGAAAAAACTGCTTTAGAATGTTACAAGTGTTCTTTACCAGTGTCGGACACATCGATCGGTCGTTGGATCTGTCGAATTTGTTCTAAGCTATGGAGATCAGGTGAAAGGCCTTCAGAAAATAAAGAAGTAAATGCATATCGAACTTAAAATGAATCAAGTTTTACCTCCTTGACAACAAAAGATTTTGCCGGCGATAATAGCAGCCACCGGAAGACAGTTGAAACACTTGAATGTATGTTGTACAGAAAATTTTATCAAAAAAAAGGAAGTTAACGAACTTACATTGTTGAATGATTCCCATAGTTTGATATTGTACCGTCGTTTGCCTATAGGTAGTAATAAAAACAGATGTTCAAGCATTTCAATCGGTTATAGAATGAAGAATAAATGCGTGGGTGATAAAATCTTTAACTCAACGTCATCGTTTTTTATGAGATCATAATTCTACTTTCACGTTTATTTACAGCCGATGAGCCTCTATATATAGCGCGTTGAGTAGCTAGAGAAAGTCCACGAAGGAAAATCTCATAGATGATGTGCAATAAACAACTGAGGAATATCCATAGATAGAAACTTCTGTAGATGATGATGATGAATAAAAACTGAAAAACACCTGTAGAATGCTAACCTTCACATCAACAACGATCTGCTGTTTATCAACGTGCTCAAGTATCCTTCGCTAAGACCTATTTGAAAGAACATGATTCAATCTAATTTTGTGCATGCATAACATCAAAATGGAATTCGTTTGGTTCCGAGCGGATCCCAGTCTGTGAAAAATTGTTCAAATGTATTTTTTTACAGCTGCATCTGGAGAAGATACGAATAATAACACTTTTCATACATAAAATCTAGCAATTTTTCAGCTGCTAACAGTTGAAGAAATCAAAAAGTGTAAGCAATATTTACATTCGTCGAAAAAACCATACATGCAATTAATTGAGGCGCATTCGTGATTTCCTCGTAGTAAGAAAATGTTGTTGGGATATTTTATCTAACGAAAATAAAGTAAATGTATGTAACCTAGATTGTGAAGAAAGTCGACAAACTTTGTAAGCAAGTAAAAGGCAGATTGTTTCCAAAGACTGTTCACCTCGATCAATATAGTTACCAAGAAACAGATAGTTGGATGTCGGTGGAAAGCCACCAGATTCGAAGTGGCGAAGTAAATCAGTATATTGTCCGTAAATGTTGCCTATCAAAGAAAATTCGTGAAAAATTGTATGAAGTGAATAATTCTAATCAAACAAGACATATTAAGTTTAAAATATGTTCTCATAATTATAGGAAGTGGCTATGTGCACTCGAGTGCACATAGCCACATCTTAGTGTATTGGCTATGTACACTCGAGTGCACATAGCCGACTGGCTATGTACACTCGAGTACACATAGCCAGTCAGCTATGTGCACTCAAGTAGGTATTATCAACTAGTTACTAAATATTGAGATATATTATAGCCATATATGTACTTCATAATTAAAATGAGTAAAATTTATTAATTTATTAATAATTTTACTCTATTTATTTGTTGTTAAATTCAAATAGAGTATAAAACAAGTATTAATATCAAACAAATATAAAAGAAAAAGTTAATTCAAATAAAAATCAACTCATTTAGAAACATTTCTAGCGCTTGATCTCTTAGATTTTGAACGAAATGGTTGCATTTTATTATTTTCAATACATTGGACGGAAACTATATTGATGCCAGTACTTTTCTTCTCTATTAATTGTGCCTTCTTTCTCTATTGATAATTTATAGAACGAAAGATTCTACTTTTTCTTGATTAATTAGCTTACAAAATGGGTAATTGAAAAACATAAAATTCCAATTAGCTTTCAATCTGGACCGAGATATCCTTTTTTCAAGCCCTATTGATTAATCCTCACTAAAGAATAAGAATTAAAACAAGATTACAAACTGAGATTCTTTCAAGATGAGAAAAAATAGCTGTCAAAATTAGAGATACAATCAGAAACGAATGTAAAAGAAAATTTTTTCGTTATTGTTTTATAAAAAGATATTTTCGGATGATTAATGTTAGTTATATTGAAAATAACGAAAATACAACTATTTCCTTGAAAAATTTAAGAGAGTAAATGCTAGAAATATTTGTAAATCAGTCGATTTTTACTTGAATTAACTTTCTCTTTTATATTATTTTGATTCTAATACTTGCTTTGTATTTTATTTGAATTTAATAAAGAATAAATAGAGCAAAATTGTTAATCAATTGATAAATTTTAAATATAATAATTATAAAGAACATATATGGCTATAATATAACTCAATATTTAGTCATTTTTTGATAAT